GCGCAGTTTAGTCATGTGGTCTTGAGATTGCAGGCTGACCCGGACCCCTGGCTGGGGCGGGAGACAGCCTGAGCTCTGACCTGGTCCCAGGTGCCGGAACCTTTGTGGAGGGCCCTCCCTCTCCACAGCTGGTTTCACTGGCAGGGAGCCAGCCACCCTCTCCTGGTGCGACAGCAGCTCCTGGTGGGCGAAAGGTGTAATTGCACCTTATTCTGCAGGGGGGGAAAAATCTGGGGGGGACATGAATTCTGCGCATATATTTCTTTTGTTAAAAAGGGGGAGGCATCGCCTCCTGCCCTTCCCCAACAGCAGTAGCTACCTGCGCTTGAGATGGCTTTGTGAAACCAGTAGGGATAGACATCAAACAAAACCTTGGCTGCCATACAAAACTGGCCCTTCCGCCTGATTTCCCAAAGGGTCCTACTTCCACTTAGGCAGTGAAACAAACAGACCAGGCGTTCCAAAGAGCCCTGCACGTCAGGGGCTCAGCTCACTTGAGATCTGGCTGCTAATTGAGATGCCTGCGAGAGGATTGGTCTTAGGAAATCTGGCGCTGAGGGTGGGGCGGAGCCCAAGCATAATCAGCCCCATGTCAGAACCAGGGATGTTAAATGGTGTGTAATTAGCTAATCAAGGAGTTGGAGTTTCCATCGATTAGTCGATAAGGGGGGAAACCCCGGGAGCTCACCCCACTGTGGGTCTGCCTTTTAAATGTATTAAGAGACGCCAGGCAGACGTGCAGCGGAGGGGCGGGGGGAAGACACCACGTGTGAGCTGGGAATCAGCTGTCCCAGCTCCCGCCTGGTCCCAGCTATGCCTCTGCCTCCCCTGCCCTTCCCAGCATGCTGGGGGGACCAGCTGGCTCCCCCCAGCACCAGCTTCTGCTTCCCCGCTGCTGCCTCTGATAGAGGCAGTGGGGGGGGAGGGAGCAACTAGTCAAGTCACCACTCGACTACCCGATAAGCTTCTCAGGTAGTTGACTAGTTGACTAGTCGCTTACATCCCTAGTCAGAACAGGACAAATCTCACAGCTTGAATGTTGGAGGACAGTTTGGATCCAAACACTTGTGGTCCCCACTAGGGATGTAAAATCCCAGTTAAAACGTTAACCGGTTAAATGGAATGTTAAACATTCCGGTTAACCGAGTTCCCACAGGCAGAGGGCTACTGCAGCCCAGCTGGGCTGCCAGTTAACTGGTTACCCATTAACACCCCTAGTTCCCATAGCATTCATCTTTCGGTGGTAATAAATTAGCCCCTCTTTACCGTAGGATCCAAGCACCTTGCAACCTGACATGTATTTTCCTCCCAGCACCCCGGTGAGATAGGCACGGCTATTATCCACCTGGTACAGATGGGAAAACAGAGGCACGGAGGCTCCCAGAAGTTTTGGCATTTAATCCCCGTTCATTTAAATGGGAGCGAAGTGCCTAATATCTCCGAGGATCTGACAGGTGCTGGAACGAGGGCTGTGAAGGGGGGCCGCAGCACCCCCTGGCTTGAAGTGGGTTCCAGTCTATTCAGAGTTTCCAGGTTGGTACCACCGCCTATAAAGCATTCCTGGAGAAAGTCCCTAAAACAGTGTGCCATATTGGGGTGCTTTAGTGGGAGCATTACCAGCAGATTGAGGGAAGTGATTATTCCCCTCTATTCGGCACTGGTGAGGCCACATCTGGAGTATTGCGTCCTGTTTTGGGCCCTCCGTTACAGAACGGAAGTAGAGGCATTGGAGAGAGTCCAGCGGAGGGCAACCATAATGATTAGGGGGCTGGAGCTCAGGACTTATGAGGAGAGGCTGAGGGATTCGGGTTTATTTAGTCTCCACAAGGGAAGAGTGAAGGGAGATTGGATAGCAGCCTTCAACTCCCTGAAGGGAGGTTCCAAGAGGCTGGAGAGAGGCTGTTCTCAGTGGGGGCAGATGGCAGAACGAGGAGCAATGGGCTCAAGTTGCAGTGGGAGAGGTCTAGGCTGGAGATTAGGAAAAACTATTTCACGAGAAGGGTGATGAAGCCCTGGGATGGGTCCCCTAGGAAGGGGGTGGAATCTCCATCCCTAGAGGTTTTTCAGTCCCAGCTTGACAAAGCCCTGGCTGGGTTGATTTAGTTGGGGTTGGCCCTGCTTTTAGTGGACGGTTGGACTTGATGACTTTCTGAGGTCTCTTCCAACCTTATGATTCTGTGAATCTATGAACTCATGCAGCCAGCTCTAGGGTGGAGCACAGCAGCTGGTTAACATCCCACAGCTACACTACACAAACGGTCTGCGACGTATCCATTGAAACGAAGGGAGAATTTTAGAGAGGCAGAACCGCATTGGACTTTACCCAGTATGTCAGGGTTAACACTTCTATTTTTCTTCTTCTAACTGGAATAATTGCTCTCTGGCTAGGTTATTCTACAGCTGCCAACAGCAGGGTATCGTGCACCTTGCGGTGATACAGCTGGCCAGTTGGAAACAGGGTTAGGTGCATGATCCATCTGATCTGGTACAGCAAGTCCTGTGTCTCTAATGGAAAATGCCTTTGGGGTCTGTCATAAACACAAGAGGCAGCTCAAGCGGCATTGTGCTACCTAAAACCATTCCGGGCCACGGGATCACTCCTGACATCGGCCTTAATTTGGGAAAGCACACACTTCATTCTCACTGATTTCAGTGGCACTTACTTCGGGGTTGTCACCCTGCTGGGGGAGGTTTTCTACAATCGTGGGTGAGGTCAGAGAACTAGCTACTAACGGCCAAAGCCCATTTGCTTCTTTTTCTCCAGTGTTGGGTGATAGGAAGGAACCCTCAGTTTCACACATACAGAATGGGAAGCGACTGGCTAGGAAGGAGTCCTGCAGAAAAGGGATCTAGGGGTCAAAGTGGACCACAAGGTAAATAGGAGTCAACAGCGCGACACTGTTGGAAAAAAAAGCAAACGTCATTTTGGGCTGCATTAACAGGAGTGTTGT